GGGCCGCTGCGGAAGGGGCGGGCGGGCTAGCTCCTCCGCCGATCCCCAGGGCACCATCATCAAAGTACACCTTGCTGAGGGCGTGGCGAGGTTAGGCGGGGCGGGGCAGCCACTGCAGGGCGTGCCTAGTGTCTGCCGCGCGGGGTCGTCGCACCGACGCTACAGCAGCAGCAGCAGCAGCGCGTCTGATCGTGTGATTAGAGGCTGCCTGCTTTGTGTGCCTCGCGTTGTGCAGCGAAAGAGAGGCGGCCAGGGCAATCAGCTGATGGCCTCCCCAAAGTGGCGCGAGCGAGCGGAGCAGAGCCGAGCGCGTCTTGTGAAGCAGCATTACGTCAAGGCTATGGGGAGCCCCAATGCAGCTGCACAGATGGGGTGTATCCGTCATGCGGCGCGCGTATGTATGCCAGATGGCGTAGGGGGGAGGACCGAAGCGGAAAACAAGAAATAAAAGAGAAACAAGCCGAACGAGGGGTGCCATGGCGGGTAGGCAACACTCTAAGCGCCCGCGTCAGCCGGGCATGCACTCCTGGAATCCTGGGACGTGCGGATAATTTGAGTGGTCAGTGGGTAAAGACTACTGATTCAGCGCGCATTTCGCACAGTTGCTGTGTACTAATGGGGGTTGTCCAGAACGAACGTCCACCATTCACTGCGACCAACCTGCAAAGTATGGCCTCTATTTGTTGGCTCACTCTCAGCCCGTTACTGACATTTTGCAAATACACAATGAACTCGCTTATACAGCAGTAATACTCACAAAATTGCACGTAATACTCACAAAATTAGTAAGTAATACTAATTATTTTGTTAGCAAGTACTTAGGATCTTCCTGAGTAGTTATTAACAAATTAATTAGTATTACTTACTAAATTTGTGAGTATTACGTGCAATTTTGTGAGTATTACTGCTGTATAAGCGAGTTCATTGTGTATTTGCAAAATGTCAGTAACGGGCTGAGAGTGCTCTCATAGCGCCTGATAGGTAGGCAATATCCTGTCCGCGGAGCATGCGTGCACTGCGGGCTGGCCTACCCTGAGTCCCGCAGGCGCCGAGCTCACGTAATTTGCCAAATTAATCTAAGAGGAACACTTACGTGGTGTGCACATTTTAAACGTTTTGTAAACGTTTAGATTGTGCACACTCTGACAAACACAAATCTATAGGAACCAGATGGCGTGCAGCTGATATATTTTTCGGAAGTTTTTAAAGTTAAAAACCAATTGACGTTTAACCTAGTTAAGAAAATGCACACTTGAACTTGAACATACCAATTGGCGTTTAACATTAAACACTTGTTTCACCAGTGAAGAGTCCAAAACTGTGCATTGTTCAACTTCCACGTGAAACACTTGAATAGTGAACAACAACCACGTTCATCATTTGGCAGTGTTCAACATGAACACTGGTTGGCCAATTGATTTACCAATATGCGTGCTTTCACCCCCTGACTGTTAAACATCGTCGTCGTTATCTTCTTTCTGTGCACCTTCCGTCCCACATGGTCCTCCTAAGACTCGCGTATCGAAAGTCAGTAAGTTGCAGAGCGAGGTGGAGGTGGGGAGACGAGGGCCTCGGCCGTGTAAGAGACGACACGTGAAGCGCGCGGCGGGGCTAAAAGAAGACGTAAAAGAGGAGAGGGAGGGCGATGCAGTGAGGGT